CATAAATTACCTTTTTTCGTACTCCTGATAATTACAGCATTTAAACAAAATCTTAATTAAGTTAGTGCACATTTAGGTACAGATAACACTTAAGTAATTGTACACTGTAAAATTTCACTTATTTAGTTATTTTTTTCCTTTTTCAATCTTCTGACAGAACTCAAGTTTAGTGTTTAGTTCAAACACATGCATTTACTTCCTCAACTTTAATGTACTGAAATTTTTATTCCTGAAAGGAGTAACACAAAGTGATTGTTTCCAGTTTTCCCCCAATGTTTTTTAAATTCTTACTCTAATGCTAGTGATTCTGAAGCAGTTCTCTATTGACTATAGAAGTCTCATTATTAATGATGATACTTGCAAGTAGATCTTATCAAGAATGAGAGTCCAAAATGTTAATTTCATTAAATTTGAAATTCAGATAACTTAGTTTTTCCTTTAAATGTTTTGCTTTATACAACTTTTATGAAAGTGGAATAAGATATACATATTTAATAATCATGTTAGTGCTTTTTAGAAACCACCAGTGATTATTGGATTATTAAATTAGGAAGGATTTTCAGAACCTTTAGGTAGGGTTTAAGTTTTTAATCCTATTTATTTAAGGTTAATCTTTTTAAATATATTTACATGTGCTTTGGTAGAATTGGGCTTATCAACTTTTTATTTAATGTTTTCATTTAGTAATTGACTGATTTATGAGCAATTACATATGGTCCAAATTTTATTCAACTCCAGCTTTCAATAATAGGACTATCCTCACACTGCCTTAGCACCTGTTATGGATTTTGAGTCATCTGGCAGCCCATGGGACTTAGATAAAGAAGTACCAGGTGTCCTGCCTGTCTCCTAATTGAGACGCAGTGAAAACAATATAGACTTGGCAGTATGGTTAAAAGGGTGGATTAAAGCCCAGCTTTGTCTACTCTGACAAATCACAGCTTTTCTTTCATAGTGTAGATAGTATCACCTACTAAAGAATTTCGTTAGTATAAGGCATCATAAAAATCATACACAATAGTTTGACATAACCCGCTGCAGACTTTGAGAAGAATTTCTGTTAACATAGTACAAATAAATAATATTAATACCAAGATTCATACTACTTATTTAGGGGAATCTTATTTTTACTGCATATGAACTAGACTACGTGTTTCTTGAAGAAATTAGCTACTGTAGGAAAGGAATGGAGTATTAATTTACCAGATCTTGCTCTATAAGGTAAGCAATATAGTTTACTTCCGTCTTATAAATAAGCAGTGCCTATTAGCCCATGAGATATTTAATTGCCCTATATATTTCAGGAAAATATGCCACTTTATTACTGATAATAATAGCCATGAGATCTTTGAGATGTACTTGGAAAATATATCTACTCACATCATATATCTCAATAAAATTCTTATTTTTCATTATTTTTTCAAGACCCTGTGTAATGATATTGCCTCAGACTGTTTGAAGATATTTCAGGGCCTTTTAGAACTAAAAAGCCAAATGTGATTTATTTTCTCGTTTTTATTTTAAGAGCATGCCAAGGATTTTTACTCTATAGTCACATGCTGCCAAATGACGTTACCGTCAATGACAGACTACATATATGGCAGTGGTCCCTTAAGATTAGTACCATAAAGCCTAGGTGTCTCATAGCCTATACCGTCTGGATTCGTGTAAGTACACTCTATGATGTTTGCACAACAACAAAATCACCTAACGATGCATTTCTCAGAACATATCCCCGTTGTTAAGCAGTGCATGACTGTACTACATATGATATCCTAGTATAGAAACAAACATTTTTCAAAAATTGCCGGTCTTAGTATTTAAGCTAACATTCATTGTGTTGGCCAGCCTGAACCAATTAAAATGCTTCTTACATACAAAACCCAGATCATTGAGATTGGATGCAGAAAGAGCACTGGACTGTTAAATGACCACGGTTCTAGTCCCAGCTCTACCAATCAGCAGCTTTGTTCTTCCAGGCAAATATCTTTTTGTGCTCTCCATCAAGGCAAGAGTTCTTGCTGAAGAAACATTTTGCTGCTTTTGCTAAGTTTCCAGGAAGTAATGTTGGTAAATCATTGTCGTATCCTTCCTCTAGTTCCTGCTGCCCTAAGATAATTCTCAATAAATGATGCCTAGGGATTAAACCCTCTCAAGGTGGCCTCTTTAAAAACCTAAATATTTAAGCTCCCAACCATTGTATTTCAAGGGTATTATCACCTCTATTCTTAAGGCATACAGAGCACTTTTGAAAATCTGTCTAAAATGGTTTTGAAATTTATCCATAGAGATTTTTCTCAAAGTTTCTTCCTTTTCTCCATTCTCTATAGATGGCCTTTTAAATGAAAAGAATTAGTTTAACGAAATTCATTATCTCAAACCATTGTAGAATTTATGAAAAATTTTTTACTTTCTTTAAATTAAAAAAAAAATTATCACAACCAATGGGGCAAAATGTTTTTTTAATGCTGAATTGTAGTGAGTTGTAGTTACTTTGAACATTTGTAGAATTTCTTCTTTAAACAATTATAATTTTTTTGAGAATTTACTACCAGTTTTCTTTTCACTTAATGTTACACCTTATCTATGTATACACTGTGCTTTGTTCACTTCTTCTTCCAAAGGTCAGCAATATCAAGGGTAGGGGTGAAACCAACTCTTTGTCACAAGTAAGACTCATACTCTGTATATATAATCCTAAGAATGTCCCAACTATACTTGCCCCAGAGAGGTTTGCCCCTGGGGAGCCAGGTTGGGATTCGGGGAAGGGGGCTGTCTGTATAGCATCTCCTAATCGACTGTCAAACCAGCTGTATTCATTCCATCTGTAATTTGTAAACAGTCATTGAGTACTACTGTGTTAGGTGCCGGAGATACAAGACAAAAAGACACGACCTCTGCCCCATGGCATAGTCTCCTCACTAGTTGGTTAGGAGAACAAGCACGAGGAAAGAGGCACACGTTGTTTAACAACTGGCTCTCGAGAGCAGGCGAGGCCCCAGTTTGTGGTGTTCGTGGAGTTCTGTGTTGTGAAAACTCCCACTATAGCCAATTTCAAGCTACCAACCATCTTACAAACTTCGTGAATACTGTAAGCAGTACTCTCCAAAAGTTTTAAGTCAGTAGGCAATACTCTCCCTTTTCCTGCAATTACTGTTCTTGGAATCTTCTATACAGAGAAGGGAGCTGAGATTCCTAAGTGCTAAAACTGCAAAGAAGCCACAGAAATATATGAGTGTAGGCAAGTGCTTACTAAATTAGGAATTTCGGAATGGGACTTAAGCCCTGAGGCTATGACATTGAGCACAGATATACACACTTCATACTTTGCCTTTACTTAAAAAGGAGCAATAGTTTTTTCTTTTCTTGTTTAGGAAAGAAAACATTGAACCTGAATTTAAAAAGAAACTAAGCAGTGGTGTGTCTTTGATGTCTGCTTATAATTAAAATTTTCATAGCTCTTTTTTGTGAAAAATTATACTTTTTATTCATTCTTGCTATGTACAACCTACATATATACACACATGTATATATACACACACACATTTCCATTTCTTTGAGACTTGTCACGAATCACATTTGAACTAAACGTTTATACAACCTGCTGGGCATGCCATGGAATTAGTGATCACAAAACTGAAAGTTTTGCCTTTTGTGACAGTAAAAGCAGTTCAAAAGTACATTATATTAATATTGTGGAGAATGAAGGGTTGTTGCTTCTTTAAAAGCAAATCTCCCTTTTGTCTAGTCTCCCTATACATTAGTAAAATTGACAGCCGTGGTAGTAATTAACCTTCTGCAGTATCTTTTCTTCGTATTGTGTCTTTTTCTCATGAGAAATCAGTTTCCTCTCATCAGAATAAGTCAAAAGTCCCTCTGTACATACCACAAGCAAGAAGTATTATCAAAGAGTTCTTGCACATGAATACAGGTATATTTCTTAAACTGACATTGAAAATTGTCCTCAAGGAGAAAGCACCTGCTGTTTACGAAGACTTGAGCCAAAGGTCAAAATAAACCATTTTCAGCACAGATGTAGGGGGACTTTTGGGTTATTGACTATTTATATCCTTTATCTTAAACATCCCTATGACATAAATAGGAGCAGGTGGTGGTGTCCCCATTTAACATATAGATAAACTGCAGCACAGAGAATTCAAGCATCTCTTTCCAGGACCGGCTGAAATTGAACCCCAGTTTCTTGACAGCTGGTCTTGACACAGTGGCAGAGGACCGTAAATAATTTCATATGTAAGTTTAAAATCAAAAGTAGTTACTTAAAATGAATAATAATATTAACTTAATATTAATGAAGTACAAATTAGGTTTAAACTGTACTATAGAAAATGTTTAGTTCCCTTTATTTTTAGAATAGTAATAGTCCTTCCCCCCTTTTCTGCCTTTGCAGAAAGTAGAAGGAAGGAGGATTAGTGGATCATTACAGTGCTGTGATTGCAGCACCTGTGTGTTATTTCTTTTGATTGGCTAGTTCTATATTAAAGATCCCTACCAGCTGAAAGTCTCCCCCATCAAACGGCTTTTTATTAGCTAGCTTTGGCTGGGGTTGTTTTAAATTTACAACAAAAGCCTTCTTAATTCAACTTGTACTTTAAATTTTGTTCTGAATTTTTTAGTTTTCCATTACTTTTTTTATCATCTCGTTTCAGTTTTTTAATTTCAATGCCAGTGATAACATATACTCAGAGTAGGAATATAGCTTGAGCTATCCTGTTGTTGCTAGCCATCAAGTTTGTGTATGCCACTCAATTTATAGGTACTAATAACTCTTCCCTAGAGAGCTGCCTTTTGAGGAATAAGGGTCTAACCTATTATAAGGAGATACAGGAATTAACTGCCCTGGATTCAGGTGACCGTTGCAGATGCTAACAACACTGTTTGGAACTTTAGAATCAGCTCAGTCACAAAAAGCACCTTGTTTGTGGACTCAGGACTATGGTTTAAGTAGAGTTCATTATATCTCCTTAATATATATTTTCCAGAGTTAAAAGAGGAAAAGATTCAAGTACTGTAGATTGAGTTGGCTCATTTTGATTTGTTTATAAGCCTACATCAAATCTGGAAAATTATAAAGAATATTTAGCATTTAGAAGGTGAGTTACTGTCGACTATAATTCTTTTCTAAGCTAACAGTGTTTACTGAAGATAACCCTCCAAAAAGGAACCGTCAGCCGTTAGCCTGCCTAATTTGTGATAAGCCGTACAGTTTTGCATTTAAAGTCAACCATTCATGATTGTTCTCCTTCACTTTGCCACCTATGTTTGAACTTCTAAAAATTGTTTTAGAAAGCATCATGAAGTTTTTTAATAATTTTGTTAAATACATCATGTGTTTTTACACAAAATGAGTATATTGTATCTGGATAATTTTAGTTTGTATAGCTTTATATTAGAGTTTCTTCAGAGTTTTATAAATCTCCTTCTTTTATAGTGAAATAGAATTACATCCCAAAATGTATTTTATCTAGATAGTCATTTCTTGCTTTAATAAATTTTACTACATTGGAAATATTCTCCCTGCTTTAGAAATATTAACATTTGCTTTCTTTCTGCCTAATTTTTTTGTAAACTCTAACTCTAATAAGATAAAGTAAAATATTTCATTTATAGGCCCTCTGAAAGTAGAGCATTTTAAAAGCAGGTAGGTGTCTCCACCCTCCTTTTCATGAAGCGTTTTACCCATTCAAGCAGACTTTTAAAAACAGCTTGTTTTGATAGCAGACTGTTCTCCTGTGGGCCTTCAGCCTTTGCTTCCTGGCAGCACCTTTGGTGCGAAAAGAGAGTGATCAATTGGGAGACTATCAGTGCCAGCATGCATAGAGTGATAAGTTAACACACCACTGGGAATTTCTAGGGCCCACCAAGATACTTCACTTCTAATGTGCTAACAAGCTCATTTTTCTACCTCTTGCCTCTTCAGTTATTTTTTTTCTCAGAAGAGCTTAGAAGTTGAGTGCATCAGGCATAATGAAAAGCTCTGTAGGAGGGAGAAGCAATAACCCCATTTTTCCCTTTTCAGCCAAATAGAAAATTAGTTTCTGGTAATACACAAAGGCCAGTATTTTTTGTACAAGGGGCACTGCTGTGAATCAAAGGACTCTATTAACTGCAGAAAATTCGGCAGCTGTGAATCTCCCCCAATGAAAAAAGTACTTTCCAACAAGTTGTGAGATATGTGGTATTATTTAGATTGAACCATCAGTTTCATCCTCTTCCACTTATAACCATATACCCTTTTTAAAAAGTGTTCTATATTACTTTCTGTGTTAACACTCAAAAATGTCTGTATGATCCTTCCGTAAAATCCTTACACTGATCATTTTAATGTAGCATCTTGTCCTGTTGCTACCCATTTCAGAAGGGAAATTCTTTTGAAGTTCAACCCCAGCATAAAGAATTGAAAATAATGGACTGCAAGGATTGGAGTTCAGATTATTTCAATATTTGATGCATAAAATAAACTGTCATACAAGAATAGAGTGCTCAAGCCATTTAGAGGGCAGAAGACATCACAGTCTAAGTTAAGCACCTAATGAATATAGTCTTACCTTTACCTCTTTTCCTCTTCTTAATCAATAACCTTTTGTAAGTGTAACTGGCTGTATCTCCCATTGGATATCATTTTAAATTATATTCCTCTCAAATTATTTTTCTTGGTCTTAGTTGTAGACTTGGTCTACACTTTCTAGAATTGTAGAACAATAGTTGAATTGCAATTTTAAAAGAATAAGGAATTTTGAGGAGAAAATATTGAAGTGGGTTTTGGAAAAAATTCAGTGAAGAAAGAAGAACAAATGGGCAAATTTTATTATCCTTTATACTTATTTAAATATCTTATGTAAAGCCTATCAACATAGCACGTTGAGTACAGCAGGAAAATTTCAAAAGTTGTAGAAGAAAGGTTAACTGATTTCTCAGTTCAGGAACTATACGACATGAAGTCAGCATGTGAGTTTTTCCTGATAATTGTATGTTGCTGCCTGCTGCTCTACATTTTGACAGCCATTTCCATAGTTGCTTTCGTGAACAACAGAAATATTCTCTCTCTTTCTCGCCCTCTCTGTGCTAACAGCACAATCAGGCCTGCTGAAACAGGAAGCCTGGAGTGGGTTGTTCAAAAGCAACAACACTTCAAGGGACTGGTTGCTTGTCAATAATATCAGAGAAGAAAATGTGGTGAAAGGGAAGTACAGTATTTTTCTGTCAGTGTCAGTGCCCTGTAGATGCTTTGTTAGACAGTGTTTAGGAGTCCTGTGGACTCTTTGCAAATATTCCTGCTTGTTTCAGTGTTGTAATTGACTAGGTATTTTTTCCTGACATACGGATCCAACTATGTATTTATCTTAACCGCATGGAGTTATTCAAGGATTACAGCAACAGTAGTCTTCCATTCAAAATGAGAACAATTGTTGGGTAAATGCAGGGATTTTAGAAAAAGAAGAAGATATGCAGGAATTTTTCACAATAAATCCATACAAATGAAAACTATAGAATTTCAGACATAGCATTTTAAACAGCATTATAATTGTGTGGCTTTTCAAAGTAAATCTGCAGATCGAAGCTGATTAACAAGGTAAGATGAGCCTAGGCTGACCTGATAGCAGTTGAATCCTTTCTCAAGTAAACTATTACCTTTCTTTCTTCCTACAATTTAGTTTTAATTATTTTCTAATAAATGTCTCCCTGTTAAGCTGCCATTTATAATGATATCCTGAATAGTAAACTTATGTTAAAAACTGTATTTTTACTCTTTAAAAAGCCATACTTTTAATGATTTACAAGAATAGTTAGTGAATAGTTATGTTTATTAAGAAGTAATGGCTTAGCCATCATAGCAGTCCTTTCTGATGAGATCTCTTCGTTTCCAATGTAAGCCACATTTAAGTTCACCCTTAACTAAAGGAAATCAGCTATGAGGAGAGAGCGCGATACCTGCAAACAATTGTCCAGCACCATTTAGAACCAACGACATTTGAAGATTTTGCGGCCCAGGTTTTTTCTCCGGCTCCCTACCATCATTTACCATCTGATGCCGGTAAGATTAAAAGCAAGTATTAGTTACTTTTCATTATTGGAACTTGAAATGCAATACCCTTTTGTACTAAAAACTTTTAAAATAATGGAAAACTTGCTTGAATAAAATTCCAGTCATTGAAATGTAAATATTTTTCATCATCATTTAATATTTAAATTTGGCCTGTAAATTTGATTTATACTTTCTTTTACCTAAATGCAGTTCCTTTAAAAGTCAACAATCTTCATAAAAGTACATGCACCACATTTTTTCTGAGCTAATGGGCAGTGACTGTTGTGTTTGATGGAATTATTACTGAAGTATCGGCAAAAGAAACACAAGTTGAGCGTGCACTCTCTCAACTTTAGAGGATCAAATCTTGTGGCCAAGAATATTGCCTTATCATCTCTGATTTTACAATTAAATTTAAAATAACTTGTCCAGATTTAGAAGTACTTAATACAGTAAATTAATTTTTAATATTTAAAGATTATAAGAGGGTACTGCATTTTCACAATTAACTAATTTTGAAGAAATCAGTAAGAAAATAAATGACTCATGGCCTTCCTATTCTGTAATACTTTGCACTCCTTATGATTGTTTCATTTATTTTATTTTCCCTCTTTAGATCATTAAATATCAGTTCTCTTTATCTGAAGGTAAGACAAAGTGTCAACCAAAACACCCTTTGTTCTTTCCCCATTTCCTTTTTTAAAAATTAGCAAGCACTAAGCTTGTAACTCAAACAATAAGCAAACTTAATTAACACTGCCCTGGTTCATACTAAACATTTCAGAAATTGTCACTAAATTTCTTCCAGAATTATACTTACTAACCCAGGTCTGCATGAAATACTAACACTGGTTCTGGGATAAAAATAACTAATAATAGAACCCTTGGTTGGAATTAGTTACACCTTGTTCCTGTATAGACCTTTTTTGTTTCTCAGCATGAAAAAGTAGTGCTACTGAACTGAAATGGTGTGTCTTTGTATTTTGTAATCTGTTGCATTGTTATTGAATATCTGAACTCATCAAATAGTTATTCTGTTGTGTGCCTTGCACTGTACGAGGCACCTGAAATACAAAGATGACTATTTTAATGGTGTTCAAGGGAAGCAGGAAAAGAGAATACAATATACTTGAAGTTCATCATAATAAGCCTTAAATTCTCATGTTATATAAGTATTCTTTATATTAAACAAGTTTAAAAGGCACAATACTCCCTTTCTGGCCTAATTTATTTGGAAAAAAAAATTACTGTAATTCTCAATTGAGATTTAGTCAGTGACATTAAAGCTTCCATTTCTGTCACCATTTAATTAGCCATTATAAAAAGAATTTTACCAAAAAAGTTAGAACCCTTTCAGTTAAAAGACCTAGGAATAGGAAAGAGAAAATTTTATTAGATTTGGTCGAATCTTTTGAAAGAGAGATTAAAAAGTCTAAGATTGGCTTCAGTGGATTGACACTATCTAAAATTACTCAGTTTGGCCTTAAGAAAGATAGTGAAAGATTTAAAAGTAAATTAATGATCAACAAAATAAAAGCTAGTTAAGTATAACTGGAAATTTCATTTTTAATAGAGAGTATCTGATAAAATATCAGACTACATTATTAAAATACATATGGATAACACTTGTGTATCATATAGTCAAGCCATAAATTTCACAACTGAAAAACATTGATAATAGGACCACATTCAGACTAACTTTTCCCCTTAAATATATAAAAGCTGTCAGTTTTCATGTTATAGTTATTTACCAGCTGGAGTCCTTCATGCTCCTCTTCTTAATTGTTTTCTCATATTTTGCATATTATCTTGCACATTTGGCCAGATGTGTAATATGGGAAGTAAGTAGTCATCTCACTTTCTGAGACGTGAGTAAAGGACGATACAGTAACCAAGTCAAGGCTCTATTGGCTTCATTTTTTAATCTGTTTTACTATTTTATTTATTCTACACCTTTTTTAACATGAAACTTAGGTTTTCTAAATAGTAATGAAAATGTGAATTTTAACATAAACATAATACTGTGCTACAAGTTCTTTTCAGTTCATTTTAAAAAATTGTCTTTGCCTTTAGGAATCATTAGAAACATGCACTGTAACTTTCAAAAGGATGTTGTTACCTGTAAATAACTTGTTCTGGTATTACTGAATACATTTTTATATGGTTTTTTATAGGCTTTAATAGTTATAAAAGATAGAAACTTTTATCAGAGTGGCTCTCAATTAAACACAATAATATAAAAATGAAATATTTACTCTTCTACAGTAGCAAAAACAATATGATATCTGAAGAATTATTGTTTTATTTTTTCTTCCAATTGTCCAAATTTTTATTTTCCTGTTATAAACCACGCCATATATATAGAACTCCCTTTAAAGTTGTAAATCAGTGAAAGAGAGAAAACATGAAATAAGCCACATAATAGCAATACGGACCTGACTCGTGGCTGGCAAAAATTACATTATATTGTGAAGGTTTTTACTCTTTAATGTAATGATAAAATTTATTTACCACATTGAGGAAATGCATTCATAATTGCAATTGAGAATTCACTTTAGATATCCTATGCATACCCCACGTATATAAAATAATACTCATCAATACTAATGCAATAATTTGAAATTAAGTTTTAAAGAAATATCAGTATGATAATCATATAAAGCATATAATCCATTTTTTTCTAACCAATCCTATAATATAATTCTATTTGGTAGAATAGTGTGGAAAAATACTGTTTTTTAAGTTTACTTAACTTGGTTCAAGATTATCTAAAACCTACATCCTGGTTAACAGTAATGTACCAGCTGTGATGACATTGAAATTCAAACAGGATTTTTCTAGATAATTTTTAGTATTATTTAAATACATATGAAGAACACTTTTGGTATATCATAGTTGATCCATAAATTTCATGACTGTAATTTCTCAAAGTGGACTCTGTCTGTGGCAGTAAACTGATACTTAAGGGGAATTATTTTTATCCCTAAGGTCATTGAGGGAGATATCGTGATGTCACACTTTGTTGATCTGCCATAACTATATTAAAACATTATTAGATTTTTCTTTTCCTTTATTTAAAAAAAAAATTACAGGAAAAAAGTCCCTTTATCTTTGTCAGGCATGTGTGTGGAAAATATCAAAAGTTTTACAGTGACCTTCTTCTTTAACTTTTTTATATTCGTGAACACCTCTCCTCTGACTCTGAATTTTAAAATGAAGTTACTCCTCTTCTTGGCCAGATTACATTATTAGTTCAAAATCTAGATATTTTCCCGAATGTTACGTTGTCTTTTCAAATTATCTTTTTTTAATAGAAGAAATTATAGATGCCAATAACAAGAAACAGGATCCTGTTTTGCTGCAAGTGCACAGTAAATATTAATTAAATTCTTTCTCAATTTCAACATGAAAAATACACCCATATTCCAGTATTATGTCTTTTAAAAGCTATCATCAGCAATAAATATTTTTGAATGCCTATTGTGTCGTATGTCTGGAATCACCTCTAATACTCTCTTCTTTTAATTGAGCTAGTATCTACCTCGCCCTATGGATTGTTTTTCTACAATTAAGTTAGACATTTTAGTACTTTAAAAATTAAAGGGTTGATAGGTGTTTGCCTCCCTCTCTACGTATGCATATATATCTACACACATACACATAAATATGCTTACAGCTATGCATACCACTTTGTATTATTGCCTTTAGAAAACATATAAGTTTCTATTGAAATCAATATTATTAAAATTAGTAATGAGATTCAGATATTTCTATGCCATCAAAATAAGAGAGAATCTAGGTGGAGTGATTGTGAAGACCTAGAGTTGCGTCTAATCTTCCTTCATTCTAACCTCAGTTTTGCTGTTAATTCACAAACTCTGTATTGCCACATGTACGTGGAATAGCATGACGATGGTCAGATCCATGTCTGAATCTTTGAATGGGATGAATCATCAAAATTTAGCTATTGCTTATGTAACCTTTTTAGTTCGATGTCCCTCTTTAAAAGTTATTTTAAACTCTCCTCGTCTTCCCAGGCTCTGAAATAATCTGAAAGGAAATATTTCAGCTCCTCGGAAGACAGTTACTTTATATATCTCCTAAAGATTATTGGTAGGGCCAACAGGAAAACCAGTTTCCTTCAACATGGAACATAAGCTGGAACTTGGTTTACTGTTTTTAAAAACAGCTTCCTAATCCTATTTATTTATTACTAGGTTAGCCTGAAATTATAAACAGCCAAATGTAGTATTCTGTTTTCAGTATTTTGAACTTGGAAATTTGGCTCATATGTTGTTGACCAAGAGGCAAAATCTTAAATAAAGTATCAATCTTAAATAAAGTCCATTAACCTTTTGTGGCAATAATTACGAGGTTCAGTTTCCACATCAAACATTCATTCAGATGTAAAATTTTTGTAATGAAAATAATAAAATAATAATTGAGCAATTACTGAATGCCAGGCACTCTGCTAAGTACTCTCCATGCATTCTCTCATTTAACCTTTGCAGCAGTTCTGTGAGATTAAAAAAAAAAAAAAAAAAAAGCCCCACCCAGATACCCAGAGTCTCCTGGTGCTTGGTAAAGCACAAGTCTGACTTCAGAGTCTGTGATCTTGTCTATTGCAATTAACATTTAGTCTAAGTATTTTCAACCCTTCTTACTGTTGAAAGAGAGAGGCGACAAAGACATTGTCCAAAAACCTGACCTACAAATTAGAAATTGTTAAGTGCTTTTAGTTTGAAGGCTCTACTTTTCCACCTATTGAAAAAAATTTTTTCTAATTTTTTTTAATAGTTTTAAGGTTGGCATGGGAGAAGTGGTCGTTTTCTCCAAAAATGTTTCCAATTTCAATCTCTTCTAATT